GTGTGTGTGTGTGTGTGTGTGTGTGTGTGTGTGTGTGTGTGTGTGTGCGTGTGTGTGTGTGTGTGTGCGTTCTTTGTGTCTCTCCCTGTGCTGTCAGGGGTCAGTGGTTTCTCATGGGTGCCTGAGGACTCGTCATGGACACCATCTGTTCCTCAGAGGTTGTTTCTGACCTCTCTCAATGATGAGGATTAATTGCAGGACTCTAAAGTCAACCTGTATTATTGTCAGTTTGTCATGCAAATAGATGGGAACATTTCTAACTTATGGAGTCCTCTTGATTATTTATACACAAAACAAGAAGCTTTATCATTCCTAAATGATTTTTATTTCACCAATACATGTGTTAGGGAAAAAAAATAAGAGAATTTAGGTTTTGTTGGCTGTTATTGTGACATTATGCACAGCAGCTTTTAGTTTCATAATCTTTTGGAAACAATCACCAATATCTTGAAACTTTCAGTTTGTCCTGGAAATACTAAAATAAGGAACCAGCTGTGAACAAAACTTCCAGTTTTTCTGCTTTTTAAAAAGTTAAGTCAGCAATGCTAATCAATGAAAGCAGTGCCAAATCAAATATATGAGGCAGTACAACTCCTGAGGATACAAAGAGTTTCCATTGCAAAAACACAGAAAACCTGAATAGAGATTATATATATATATATATATATATATATGTTTTGTTTGTTTTTGCACATATTTTTTGGATAGATATTTGTCATCAAAATGACTCATGAGAAGCATTTAGTAACTCACACAAGCATCATAGAAGTTGATGCATTTTAAATCAAAACAAAAAAATATCTTTGCACTTTAAAACATGGCAGACTAATTATTAACACATTAAACTCATGCACGCACGCACACTCTGAGTGTGGGGGTTGTGGGGTTCAGTGTTCTGCTTAAAGCCCATTGAGGTACTAACATTCTGTTTGCTGATCCTTCTCTCTAACCACAAAAGCCTTTGCACTATTTTTATTTTAGCTTGTTTCAGAGAGTCCATAAACTCCAGTTGAAGTCATAATGCACGATTGTGTAGTTTGGCATGGGAATATTTTTCACCATTCGATGACTTTGAGTATTAGCTTTATAGTTTCATAAAATGTGAGACTATAAGTCCTGTATTTATTTGCTTTTAACGTCAGACTTGCGACGTTCAACTTACATGAAGTATGTTCAAACATTTTAGTTTGGGATTGTAACAGAAAACCAGTCAACATACGATTGAAATGCTTTAAATGTTTTTTTTAAAAAAAGCTCTTTTTTTTGCCTACTAACAAACAAACATTCATTCTTCCTTTCTTTCTCATTTTTATGGCCTCTCCAACGTTTGAGTATTCTGTAAAATTTGCATGCTTAACATGTTTATTTACTCTTGTTTGCTTGGTTGTCCCTTTATTTTTCTATATTTATCCACTTATCTGACGTGAGCAAACATTGTGGACTGGGTCACTCTGACATCTGCAGCGGCTTTATTAAGGTCATTAAACTTCCTCCTGAAATGAAACACCCTCTCTCAGGAGCACATATCGGTTCTGGAAACAACCTGAAGAGCAAATGTAAAATAATGCACTGGTGGATGAGTTTAATGTGTCAAAGTGATTCACTGCATTCAATAATAGTTTCTTCTACATGTTTATGGCTCTCTTGTATAATGGTGAGGACAAAATGGAAATAGATACAAACTCATGTATATTAGTTACATAGAGAAATGCTGCACAGCCAAATAAGAACAAATGAAACAGGCTGTTTGTCAGTGTAACGCACCCCGGCCATGAAAGTATGCCAAGAACTTTTTAGATATGTCTTAGACTTTTGTAGAGTTTATTTAATCATGAGCTATGTCACAGAGAAAATAAAAATATTCACAATTTTTTCCTCTTAAAATGACATTTCAAACCCATTTTCTCTGTAGAATTTATTTTTTTAAGTGAGGGAAGCAGAAAGTTGTGTTTTATTGCAGCAGTGATATCAGCAAAACTAAAAAAGTCAAATCACTTCACTTTCAGTAAAGTGGGTCTGTTCTTTTACATTCAGTAATTGGATATAAAGACAATAAAATTTATACGTGAGCTGGTTAAGAGCTTGGAACTGGAATGACTTTGCCATTTCTCTTTGACTACAAATGAAAATGTATACTTGAAACTAATTTATTCTATTTTAGATGGCAGGTCTGTGCAGTTAATTTATTGTTCCAATATTCTTCCAGGGAAAAAATGTTTTGGGTAAGTAAGGGCAATCAGGAAAAATGGTTTTCTACCGATCCAATGTTTTTTTTTTTTTTAGTTTATATTCCTCCAATATTTCACTTCCTCACCTCATATTTGCATTTAAGCAACAGATTCAATCATTTGCAGTTCATATCCATGACAATCTACATGCAGTTATAGTTGCATTTTACTGAACTTTAGTGAACTTTTATTGAACAACACCTCTGTCAATGCATTGAGGGGAACAGGCATTTTAAAATATGAGTATATTGCAGAACGGTTGAAATCTGTGACACAAAATGTTTTGTAACAATTAACTGCTGTTTCTCTACTTTGTACTTCTGCTTTGTTTCATAAATCGGTTACTTCATATCATCATGTTATTCCAAGAAGGATCTAAGCAAGAGCTGTTAAAATCTCCCATTTAAGGTTTGATTAAACCTAATTTAATTAAATGGAAATGCTGGAGGAAGAAATAAGGAAAGAAGCAACTAAATTAAAGTTGGACGAGGATGAGGGTTTGTGGGATGGACTGTCATGAGGTTGTTCAATAACTCAACACCTGCTGCATGTAATTTACACCACATTTAACAGATATTTCCATCTTTTCAAACAGGTTATAGGATAAAAACAGCTGTTTTAACAGTCACTAACAAACTTGTAGTTATTGGGATGAAGGAAAACATTTGATTGTGCACATACAGTATATACACTACGTGATATAATGAAAAAATATATAAATAGTGAAATTACCAGTTGACAGAGAGAAGTAACAACATTTAAAGTTTGTATTTTTTCATTTGAGAAAAAATTTAATTGATTTTTCTGTATTTTTTCACATTTACGTAAAATCCAATTTTTACATATATATTTTTTTCTTCTTTCGGCTGCTCCCTTTCTTAGGGGTCGCCACAACGAACTAAGTTGCACGAAGAAATATTAATAAATATTGTACTGAAAGAAAGTTTAAGAGGGGTAGTGGTGGCCCAGGGGTTAAAGGTGAGCCTGTGATCGGAAGGTCGTCAGTTCAATTCCCCGAATCGACAACATTGAAATGGGGGTGGGAATAGTGCAACACCCACACCTGCCTCCATCCTCATTTGCCTCACTCTGGGCCCTTGAGCAAGGCTCTTAACCCCCATTATCTGCTCCCCCGAACACCAGATGGCTCTCTGCTCCACACAGAGGTCTGTGGTAGCTCGGTGGTCTGTGGTTGCGTCAGGAAGGGCATCCAGCATAAAAATATTTGCCAGGTCTTTATGCGAGTTAGTTTGCTGTGGTGGCCCCTGAGGAAGGGAGCAGCTGAAAGAAGAAGAAAAAAACTGAAAGAAAGTTTAAATGAACATTTTTAACAAATGAGAAAAAGAAATTGCAACACTGGTCTGTGTTAACTGAACAGCAGTGATCCGGAAGAAAATTGAAGTGAGATGTTTTTCATCAGAACGGAAACCATCCGCTGTTTGCGGATGAACAAATGGACAAGCTGCAAGGTTTGTCAACAGTTGAGGCAAAAATAACCTTTTTCAGTTTCATTGGGAAGGATTACTATTAAATCAATTTATTTATTTAGCTTATTTTTTTTTTTGGGGGGGGGGGGGCAGACATTCACTGCAGTTCATCACCAGAAGCCTTATTCCATCTGTGTAACATATTTGATCCCATTTGGACATATTTGGATCAGTATGGCATGACTGAATACTATCCAAAAAATATATTTATAAATAAATTCTAAAAAAAAAAATACATCAGGGCATATTTTATAAAAGAAAAAGAGCTTGTGCAGAGTCTAAACACAAAAGCAACACATTAAAAACTGTCTTTAGTTGAGGAGTGTTTAGTTGTTTATTCAGTTCTGTCTAAATTTGATATTTATGCATATATTTATTTACATAAGCCTTTGATTCAGTGTTGTTTAAAAGTAAAAAAAAACAAAAAAAAAAACAGTGCCTACTTTTACACAAAGCTATTTTTAAAAGTTGCATGCAGTTTGTGCTGCAATAACAGTCTACAGCAATAATGGTAATAACTGGTTTAATTACTCGAAGGAAATTGTGGTATAATTTAGCAAAATAATATATGTCATGCCAATTACTTGCTTTTGTTTGCATATTACTGAAAAAAAAAACAGATGACATATCTGATCTTATTCAATAGCATCAGTGCCACAGACGACTTTTCATTGTGTCTCTGCCATTTCTTTTAATTCTTCCATTAGTCTAATGTTTTCGTCTTTGATCGTCCGACTTCCTGTCTGTCTCAGGCTGCAGCTGACTATGCGAAGGCCCACCTGCCCGAGTCTCTGAAGCAGCAGCTGCAGGCCTTTGAGAAAGAGAAGAGAGACGGCGCTGTCTCGTACGCCAGCATCCTCGAGCAGCGCATCCTGTCTGTGGACCGCGAGATGCTGGACAAGCTCTCTGCCAACCACGATGAAGCAGGTCAGGCGGGGGGAGGCAGGCTGTAGGAAGTAAACATACAAAACACGAGCAGACTGAAAAACAAGGCTGCCGTAAATATTTACGGTGAAGCTGAATGAGAGCTTTGTGAACTTTCAGGAACTTGAATTAAAAATGTATTCCTTACAAATTAAACTTACATTTATCCAGACACTGTTTCTGTTTGACCTTTGCATTTATGACACATATTTTAACTTTTAACCCAACTTTTACACAAGTTTTGCTGTTGCTTGATCTTAGTCTACATGGCAGAGGTTTTTAAATGTTTGGCTGATGAACCTTTCAGTGTATTTTTACCAAGCACATTGTGTAAGCCTTTTAAGTAGATTGAATAAAATAATAAATGCTTTGACTTGTTCAGGATAATCTCTCAAAGGATCATTAAGGATTTTTTTTTCTTTATTTTCTGCTCAGGTACAACCTGCCTGGTGGCTCTGCTGTCCGACCGAGAGCTCACAGTGGCCAATGTTGGAGACTCTCGGGGGGTGTTGTGTGACAAAGATGGGAATGCTGTTGCACTCTCACATGACCACAAACCGTATCAGCTTAAAGAGCGCAAGAGGATCAAAAGGGCAGGTAAATGCTAAGATCAACAGTTCTCAAAGGTATCACCACTTTGAACCAGGACCACACTTCCCTTAGAGTTTGAAATTCTTTGGCTGCCATCTATGGGTGAAATCTAGAATTGCACCTTGTCCACCTTTATCACTACTTCACCTGGAATATACAGCACAACCTTGTATAAAAAGAACAATCACACACTAATAGTTTGAACTTTGATTATGACACACTCATTGTGCTATTATTTTAATAATATTATGCAATGTGATATGCATTTCCACCCATATTTAGATTAACTGTTTGCCAACATTTTGTGTGGCTGATAGGAGACTTAGAGCACTGCAGAAAGCCAGCACATCCACAGGTTTTCACTAGGAAAACATATGGACTCAGTGGTGATTCGAGTGTAAATTCAAGCGCATTCATGATTCAAGTGTAAAAAAAACATGATTGTTGCTCAACAACTTTTTGTGCTTTTGATGACAATGAAGCATCTATAATCACATCCTACCTGAGAGGAAACAAACTATATGTTTATGGAAAATATCTGCTCATTTAGTAAATGCATTTATTTATTTATTTTCAGTTTTAGATTCTCTCAGCTAAACCTATAGATGATGACTTCTTGTGACTATAGCGCACAGGGTCAATAGTGACATCACCCCCACCCCCACACACAAATGTATAAAAACATTTGCAATTTATTTTATATGACTTTCAGAACAGTATCGTCTACATGCTATGTGTTTTTGTTGAAGTGTCTCATATTTAAGAGTAAATTTTACAAAAATCTTTTGTATTTTTATTTAATTTTTTCTGTAGGAGGCTTCATTAGTTTTAATGGATCTTGGAGAGTTCAGGGAATCCTTGCTATGTCCCGTTCCCTGGGAGACTACCCACTGAAGAACCTCAACGTCGTCATCCCTGACCCTGATATAATGACCTTTGACCTGGACAAACTGCAGCCAGAGTTCCTGATTCTGGCGTCTGATGGCCTGTGGGACGCCTTCAGTAACGAGGAGGCAGTGCGGTTTGTTCGCGAGCGTCTGGATGAGCCTCACTTTGGCGCCAAAAGCATCGTCCTCCAGTCTTTCTACCGTGGCTGCCCCGACAACATCACAGTCATGGTGGTGAAGTTTAAAAGTGGGGCTGGGGGGAGCAGCAAGGCGAGTGAGTAGGTCAGGGTTGAGTTTGGAGCTCACAGTATGTACACTGAGGACTGTACCATACATAAGTGCAACACATCAATTATATACATGCTAACAAGTGTACAAATGATGGCATTTGATTGAGTAAATGACCTTTAAACAGATAGCGTAGACATTTTTTCTCTTTGAATGATCAACTCAAAACAACTGCAAAAGAAAACCTGCAGGATTTTTCTCTTAACCAGCACGCGTCAGACTGTGATTAGTTTACTACTCTTTAATATACATGCACATGAATGATACAGCTACAAAGGACATTCTTCTTTTTTGTTTTAGAGGAGGCTAGAAGTTGTGCCTGCACAAGAATTACTGTGCAATTGCAGGAAGGTGCTGAAAATGCAACTGCAAAATTGCCATTTAGCTTGCTGCATTTTGATGAAGTACTGAAGAATTTTTACACTTTTGATCAGGAACAATTTGTAAAATATAAAAAGGTTCCTGTAGACCCATATTTGCAATTAACCTGAAAGGATCCTGTACTCAAATCTTAACTTTCTGAGTATAAATCACTCGCCTCCTGCATACTTGAATGGTGCCTGTCAAGTGTTGATAGTTCCAGTTTTCATTTAGCTTCGATTCATGCTGGGTCTGATGGATTTCAATCATGAGCTGTCCACAGTGAATAAGGAGTCAGCCAGAGAGCGTTACAAGTCCTTATGTACTTATTTTACTTTTTATACATTTAGCTAAATTATTAAACTGTCTTCCAAAAAGTAAATGTAACTAAAGGTCTAGCATTCCTTGAAGGAATGCATGTCCTCTGCTGTTAAACCTTGAAATAATGTGACATATCTCTTCAAATCTATGTGATCTGTTAGTGTTAGGAGTGTGTTGTGAATGACTCTCAGCTACTACTGCAACAAATTTAGCTCAGTATTTGTAAAACTCACTGAGGTACAGTGACCTTTGTATACAAGCGAGCTTCAATTGGGGTGACTCCGACAGTTTACTATAGTTACAAATGTACAAGCAATATTTATTATTGTGAGTTTTGTAAAGGTGACGTCTATGGTTCATAAGATATTGTGTTAAGTGTTAATGACAAGAGTAAATGCCAGTATTTTGAGCAAAAATACTGCACAGTGTGTAGAGTTCTGGATATTTGTTAATGGTGCTCAGCTGCTACCAGATCAAATTTGATCACAATATCTGGAAAAAAAGGACTGAGATGCTTTTTGTTGGTTAATGTTGATTAGCTGTGGCCACTAGCTTAAATTGGTTCGACTTCTTAAATTAAAGAGTTGTAGATGTACATCCAGTTATCACATTTTGAGAATTTCATTAAAATTCATCCTTTGGTTCCTGGGATTTGTTCTAAAGCTACAGACAAACACACACAGACAAAAACATGATCACTTTTGACGACAGATGCTCAGATAGTGAAATTTATTGTTCAAAAACAAATACCGTATTTTCCGGCGAATAAGTTGCTCCGGTGTATAAGTTGCATTTATTATGCGTTACCGCTGACCCACAAGAAACGTGGGCCGGTGTTGTGCCAAAAATTGATGGGTGGCCATAGGAGCGCGCACGGGAGGACTCGCTGTTGCAGTTCTTTGAAATTTAACAAGATTAACACTTAAAAACAATTATGTGTTTGCTCAACATTATAGAAATGTGTGTCTCAGTTTAACTTTCTCATTAATAAATACGCTTTAATGGTCAATGTTTGGCAGTAGGGCAGCAGGGGTAGCGGCACAGGAACAATATATATGCCTACTGGCAGTTGTCAAAGGCCTAGAGGGTCCTCTCGCACCTGTAGCGGCTGCATATGGTAATGTTTACTCTGGTTCATGTCAGTGTCAATGAACATTTAAAGCGTTAATCAAAAATTGTGTTATGAATATGGAAAAAAACAAGTATATAAGTCGCAGGACCGGCAAATCTATGCAAAAAACTGCGACTTAAATGCCGGAAAATACGGTACAAAGAAAAACGACTAGCTTTAAGCATCTTCATGGCATGAATTAAAAGAGATTCTACAGACTCAGACATGATCAGTGTGCGTGCTGTTAGTCTAATCTAAAATGCAAAGAAATTATTCCATTTATGAAATAGCCATCGATTTGTGCACATCTGAACGACTGGTTCTCGTTGATGTGAATGTAGCTAATGTTCCTGGAAGTGACCAATAAACTGCATTAGGAGCTCAGATCATCAGTGCAAATGGGTTTCTCTGTGAATGCTTGTTTTTATTAGACATTGTGGTTTGTAAAGTTTCTATGAATGTGACTGTATCTTAAAGCACTCATCATAAAATGACTTTTTTAAATTGATTTTTGGGGCTAAAGCCACATTTCAAGTATGCAGAAGGGGGGGTGATACTCAAATAATATGTTGAGGGCGAAAGAACAACACATAAACAGTGCGTGCACACAACAACAGAGTGCTGAAAAAGCCTCTATACAAAATGAATTGTGAACTTTTACATATCAACCAATATTAACATTGTCAGTAATGCAAGATTTAAATGTATGTGAAACCTAATTTATACCACGAAATGCAGCTCTCTATAATGTTACAAAGCTAAACTGGACTGTTCTCTCAAAGTGGTTTTCCTCCATCCATAGGGGGGCATGAGCTTTGCCTTCTCCATGTTTATGAGGAAAGTATTTACAATGTTTGTCACAGGACACTGAAGGCCCTGACCTGGAAAGTATACACGTCGGAAGGATGACTCATCATGGAGTCCACTCTGCAGAATGCTTGTACTCAGAAATCTGATCTGCTCATGAAGCAATACGACTGACATCATGGACCGCAGCAACAAATCAGAGAAAGTTCCAGTAACCCATACTTGATTTACTACTGATCTCACTTCAGCTCCTGCCACTGTGTGTCATGACTTTTCATCAGCTCAGAGCAAGAATGACATTCTGTTGGACTTTATTTAACTGTTTACCTAATGCCTTATTTATTGTTGAGTTTTTTTTGTTTGTGGATTTTTGGCAGAACGCCAAATCAGCATACTGTATGTTCGGTCTCTGTCCTTCTGTATCTGAGCAGAAGTTTACAATAAAAACACAGTTTTAACTGTGAGAATCAGATTAATGCCGAGTGAGTAAATGTTGAGCGTGAACACGTTTGAAATGATTTCTGCATGAATCATTCATCATCACTCCGTCACTGAACAGCAAAAGCAATGTGTCTGTGTGTGCACGTGTTTGTGTGTTAACGAAATGTCTTATAAGCAAACACAGATTTTATAGAACCTTGCAGAGAACAATCACTGTTATATGATGATTTAATTATTTATTTAATTAAATAAACCAAGTTAAATAATTAACTTCTAGAACAAATCCATCTTTATGACGGACGTAAGAGATGCTTCATCCTTCATTGATCTTTACTGTATGACAAGTTTTCAGGTAAAAGCCCATTGAGAGTCAATTTGATGGTGCAAAAATACCAATTTTATGTGTCAAACTGTGTTAGATGTGCTTTTTTTCTAGATTCCACTAAAAAAACATGTGGAACAATTTTGTACCAGGCTTCTGATAACAAAGTGCCTTAAAAATTACTTTACGATTGGATCTTTGCAAAAGTTTTGTGTTATGTTCAAGGTTCAAGGTTCTTTATCGTCATTCGCATCACATGTGGTACATGAGGTGGAATGAAACTGTGTGCACAGGGTCCCAGTTTCGTCCAACAACAGCAAAAATATAAATTGTAAAAGTAACAGTAATGAGGAACTAAGATATAAACTAAGAAATATGCTAAACACTAGTGCAAATGTGTCGACGCTGCACTGGCTCATCTGTTAAGCTTATGAGCCTTTTTGATTTAAATATTTCATGCCTGAATGATTTATTGAAAAGAGATTAGTGGCTTAACAAACATCAGCAACACTAAGAAACAAAAAGAACATTATTCTGTGTTTGGTCAGGTACTAGTCTGGGAAGGTAGCCAAAGCCTTAAGAAAAGCTTTGAAAAACTTCACAAACAAACAAACAAACAAAACAAAAATCAATTGAGTTATATAACTTTAAAATATTACAATGAAGTCCTTAAAAAAGAAAAGACGAAGGATGACAAAGTTTGTTGCATAGCCCTGTATACACTGTATGTGTATGTTTCGAATGTGTAGCCTGAATTTTCATTTTGACAGCTATAACTTGTAGACCTATTCAAATCATTTATTATTTATTCGCAGGATAAATTGCTTTTATTTTTACATATCTTGCTAGACAACTCTTCTGTAGCACTTAAGTCTAAAATGCCTTGCTTATGAGCACGCCAAATGGAAGTTTTGAAGTCCTTATTGTCACCTTTTCAGGAATTCAAACCAGTCAGGTTCTGGTTTTGAGCCACAATAAGCTGCTTGTTGTGAATCATCCTGTCCAGAACCAATGGGGTGATGTTACCAAAGGGAAGAAATAGACAATATTGCCTGGTCAGAAATAACTCCTTCTCCATATCATCCCTGCAAAACAACTCCATCCTGCTGCACAAGTCGCCCCCCCCCCCCCCTCCCTAGTCTTCCCACAAAGCTATTCATGGTCAGGGTTAGCGTGCAGCAGGTGGAGAGGCTCAGAATAGCTTGAACTTGAGCTCATATGTTTGGTCCTCTGATGACCCTACAAGCAAAACACGTCACCCGTCAGCCTTACTGGAACACTTCACCTTGTTTATCTCAACGCCATATAAGCGAAGCGACAGATCATTTAGGAGTCAGTGAGAAACACGTGCCAAACTAGAGGACGTTGTGGTTCATTTTGGGGTCTTGTAGAGGAATCATTTGAATCTCCAAACAGCATGGGACAGTACGGCTCCAGATCCTCGGTGGAAACTCGAGTAATTTTCCAGCATGCAGTCACAGAGGATGCGTGTCCGAAAACGGACGCATGCTCTGTGCCGACCTCTATTGTCCACTTTCAGAAGAGGGTGACCCCTCCAGCGAGCTGTACTTATCATCCTCCGGCCCGGGCCCTGGAGAAAGCAATACCCCACTCTTGGCCACCAAGTCACCGTGACGCAGGCGGACTGGTTTACGTGATGGATAACCCAACCGGCGGAGTGTGGGTGAAACCTAAAGGAATATGGACCAGAACTTGACAGGAAATGAACAGTTTTCTGGTAAAATCCTGTTGAATTGATCAGAAGAATCGGTCGAGATGTGACTGGATGCTTTCTGTGGCCCTCGCCTGGCGTCTTCAGAGCAGCAGGTGCCATTATATGGGTTTTCTTGGCACGTCCACTCTGCAGTGCGAGGAGGGAGAACTGAAGAGCTGACTGGGCAGATCATTACAACTGATCGATTGTAACTCTGTGAAATATTCATAGATCCGAGGTCAGACTGAGACGAACACGCTGAGAGTCTCACAGTGAGCACACAACAACAACTTTCATTTGTCAGTTGGATTTCTGATAACGTGAGGTAATATAATATTCATATTTGTTTTGAATTGGTATCTGTTTAAGAAAATGATCTGATAGAAGACAGATACAATGGTAAAGAAGAGGAAACTGTGTTGGATGAACCACTTTGATTTAGTTTCAATAAAAACTCTACCAATCTTGATTGATTTATTCTTCTCTTCAACTTTTACCTTTTTTATTTGTTGTAATTCTGACATAATGACAGTTTTTTTTTATTGTTGTATGTTTTTATTTATTTATTTCTTTATATATTTTTTTAATAATGTCAATTTTCATGGCATATCTTGGGGGTCAGTGGCTCATTTTGTTTTAGATGTTAAAAAAAAAGAATTACTTCACACTTTTATTTTTTGTTGATGAGAATGAGAAATAAAATGTAAAAAATATATTTTGTTAACATGTCTGACAGTGGCTATACTGTGCATCTTGATTCTTGGTATTTCAAAACAAAATGCTGGTTGTTCTTTTAGTAAAAAAAAAACATTTAAGTGAACAGGATTTATTTCTTTAGCAGACACATACTCTTCCTGTCTGTTGTCAAACAAAACATGATTAATTTGTGATTAAAAGATCAAAAAAACATGTTAACATTTTTTTTTTTTGTCATTGCTGTCATATTTTATTAAAGCGATGTTAAACTGAGAACATTATAAGCACTTGTTTTTTTATTTTGTTATTATTTTATTATTAAATATTTCATGAACTGTCTGCCAAATTCTAAGAAACTTGCAGAAAGCAATCACTAACTAACCTTTGGAGCCAACCAGATACATTTATTTAAATTTAAGATTACCGCTACAGTCAACAGACTTTAAAATTCACAGAACTAACTAAAACTCTGTGAATTTAAAACATAAAAATTCACTGAGTTTTATGTGATAGTAGCCGTGAGGCATTCCAAGTGCATATTTTGCGCACTGATATTTTGCATCATATCTGTTTAAAATTTTGACTGTTTGGAGTCAACAAAGTCTGTCTGTTAGCAAAATATCTCATGAACCACTGGACAATTTGACCAGCTGTACATCTGCAACTGATACAATTTTGGAGCGTTTTGGCTGATTATTATCAGCCATGATGAGTAGTTCAACAAAGGTTAAACAACAATAACAACAGGACTTCTATTCTGAAGCTGAAGATGTTTCACTTCCCATCCGGGAGGCTTTATCGATTCTAAAATGTCTGGAGTGTGTGGAGTTCAAAGCTTTATAGAACTGCATGAGAGGCCTGGTTATGTACTTAGATTCATCTGCAGTACTCGCCCCCACAATGGACGATGGTCTGCCTTGCTCACAGAAGGTGTGAACTGGAGTGGAACTGACTGGATCCAACTGGGAATCAGGCCTAATGCTGCAGTGTAAGTTTTGAAAGTTGAAATATGAGACCTCTGCCTCTCTTTAAAGTTGATTTTTCTTGTTATACGTAAATGTCTTCCTTCACACCCTCTATTAAACCAGCTGTCTTCTCAGTCCAAAATATGAAAATATTGGTGCTCAAATAAGTGTCCCTTATCCTTAAGATGTAAATGGACCACAGAGTCTATCCCTGAAGAGCTAGCTCTCTGAGGTGAGCCATGTGGAGTTTGTTCAGTTTCTCCAATATAGAGGTCACTGCACTGAACTGCATACTGCTCAGTTTGGGTTTGGGGTGCTCGGTTCATGGGATGGACCAGCCTCTGTCTGAGGGTCCAGTTCCTTTGCCTGTATCAGGAACGCACCAGCGACCTTGACATTATTAGCACCACACTCAAACCAACTGAGCCAACTGACTGACATGATCCTCAGACTTGGTCCATCTCAAGAACAGAAATCTTGGGATGGATCAATTTTTATTTATTTTTATTTTTTTCCAGGACATAGTGACTCCATCTGACAGAAACTGTAACCCTTTAACTAAAGAGCAAACATCTTGAAAATCACTGGAATGATCAGTCATAAATAGTTTTTTTTTCTATCCTGGAACACTTAAATGTTATTTATTCTTTGTCCATTTGGGGGGTGAGGGATTGACTCTGCCTTCCAGAATCGGTGTCCCCTCCAAAATTAAAAGAGTAACAAATGATCTAAGGGGGGTATGTTCAAACTATTGATGGTGAAAAATGCTCAGTCCTTTGTTGAGGAGAGATTGCGATTCAATGGGGTACTCTAACTCTGTTGTTCAGAATAAAAAAGGATAGCACAATCTGTTTATATAGTATAACCTCCACGCCTTGCTAATGTGCCAACAGTGACTCAATACTAAGAGATTGTCTAGGATACAAACTTTGTCCTCTGTGTCTCCTTATCAGAGTAGCCAACAGTAAATGTGGTTCAGCTTGGAGCTAATGGCTCATTTATTAAACTCCAGGCAGCGCACTGAGCAAACACTGCGTATCCAGACCTGGGAGAAGCGACTGCCCTGCTTGTCTGTCTCCACACAGCATGGGCCACCTCCTGTCCAAACAGCCACAAGTCCAGGTCCTTCTCCTCGGTCTGGATAATGCCGGCAAGTCGACACTCCTCTACAAAATGAAGCACAACGTGAGCGTCAGCACCGTCCCGACAATCGGCTTCAACGTGGAAATGCTGGATGCCAGGAAGAACAGGAAGCCCATCGTCGTGACCCTGTGGGACGTGGGGGGTCAGCGGAAGATGCGCGAACACTGGCAGAAGTACCACCAGAACGCAGCGGCCGTGGTGTTCGTGGTGGACGCCTCGGACCGTGCGCGCCTGGGGGAGGCGCGTGCGGAGCTGGAGAAGACGCTCCAGAGCGAGCAGCTGCGCGGCTGTCCGCTCATCCTGCTCGCCAACAAGCAGGACGTGAGTGGCGCGCTGACCATCACCGAGCTCAAGGACAGGTTCAAGCTGAGGAAGATGTGCTCGGGTCGGGACTGGTTTGTTCAGCCCTGCTCCGCCACGATGGGAGTTGGAGTAGAGGAGACCTTTAGGAAAGTGGTCCAAATGGCCAGAATCCCCCCGGAGGCTGTGTAGGACAATATCAAGACCCGGTGCACTTTAATGGAGCAGCAGACAGTGAGCTTCATTTATTTCAGTTCATTCAGAGTCACCACGTTTTAAACACCTTGAGTTGACTTAACCATGAGCTTTGACCTATAGTTTGATCCAGATACATTTCTAGTGTTTTGTGGATCTTGTGGACTTCATGAAACGATTTTATTCAATCCTGCAACATGTCTGGAGTTAGTGAGTTATGACTCACAACTGTGGACGTGCATGTCCAAAAGGAAAAGCATCAAGTGTAATAATTTAAGTCCATTTGGGATAATATGATCTGGCAGCATGACTCAGTGGTTAGCACTGTTGTCTCACAGCAAGAAGGTACTGGGTTCAATCCCCGGTTTGAACCTGGGGTGTTTCTGTGTGGAGTTTGCATGTTTGCGTGGGTTTTCTCCCACAGTCCAAACACATGCATATTACGCTCCCTTGCAAAAGAGATCTGGGATTTGCTTAAATAAAGACAAAAATTGTGTTTTTTTAACAGTACATTCAGAATGATGTAATAATATAAAAGCGTGTGTCTTCTAAATTGCACTGTAGCCATAATGACCCGGTGTGCTGAGTAAACAAGATTTACTTTTATGTAGATTTATCCATCGGCAACAATGTCTTGAAGACTGCTGAAAAAACAAAGTAAGAAGCAAATCTGCATTTTTTTCTGATATTTTGTTCTTAAATAATTTGTGACCTGCTGCTAACTACCACATGCTTTTGTTAAGCTGTAGAAACAGCTGAAGTAGCTAAAAATGGGTTCACAATGAGAGCAATCATGGAAGAGCCATTTGGAATCGAGACGTCTGTCATGTTTTACGGTTATGCTCCGATTTGATGAGCATATAAAGATAGGTCAGGTTGAAATGATAAACATTCTGGTCTACCCTGACTGATCTCCAATATTTATTCTCGACAGTTGTCTTACTTGTTCTTTTTTTCATTTTCATTTAGCAGCAATCATCTTTTAGCTTCTACATGTTCAAATTTGCCACATTTGTCACAATAGCCTGTTTCAAGCCTTCCTATGACTTTCAGCAAAACTGCTTTGTTTACACACCAACATTTCAGAATTTCAAACCAATGCATTTTCAAAATTATTTTTATAAAAGCTCATGACTATATGTTTTTTGTTTGTTTGTTTTGTTTGTTTGATTCCATAATTTGCAATGAGTACCTTAAAGGAACTAATAAACAAAGTGAAAGTCAAACAGGGAAAAGACAATTTTCCTCATTGTTTTCCATTTGATTTAAAAAAAATAACTTGCAGAAAGTCCTTGATAACTGTTTATGGTGACTTAATATCTCCAATATTTAAATATGACATTTGACTGCTCACATCAGAAGAGTTACTGGAAAACAGACATAGAATATGACAGCCACTGCCAGGAAATGTTACCACACTGTGACTCATAGAAAGAGACTGACAGCAACAGATTGGTTCAATTATAAACCTCTTTCTAGGAGTTAAAGTTCCAGAGGACAGCAGCGTTAATATGATTGCTTATATTTGATCTATTAAAAAAAAATCAAATAGAAATACTCAAAAACACGTTATTATCCATCTATCCATTATCTTTACACTCCTCTTTAATGTTAACAATTCAAATAATATGATAAACAGTAACCACCTATTTCATGTTCTGGTTGTTGCGTATTTTTGGAGCCAAGTCATTTTTAACCAACACCTGGTTTTGCGGAGTGTTAAGTCGCGTTTGTCTCCCCCATCCTCCTCTGCCAAACTTTTAGTGTTCGCTTTTAGCATGGCTCTTCTTCTTTAAGGCAAGTTAAGGTGTAAAAACGTAACACCGCTTCCTGGAGTCACATTAAACACTGTGTAAATACGCCGTCTGGAGATGATCAGTTCTTTGGATCCGTTCAGTTGAAGTCCTCATGTAGTTTGTCCCACAGAGGACACGGCTCGCTCCCGGCTTCCATCCCGAACAGTCTCCTCATAAGTGGGCAGTTTGCATTCATCATATGTGGGTAACCGAGGAGCCGGGTAGTCCAAGCTGTCCGGTGCGCAGCTCTCCATGAGCAGCTCCCGGGACGTGGTGACAGGTGGAGGTCCGTTCTGCGGCGGAGGGTGCTGCCTGGATCTGGAGCAAAGCATCCTCTGAAAGAAGTAGCCCATGGCGAAGAGCAGCAGCATGATCAGCACCCCGGAAAGTTTTCGGGTGACGACGGCGATGGTGGCGTAAAAGCTGCTGACGTCCGTGCTGTTCCCGTTCGCGCAGCAGACTTGGCCGTGCGCGCACAAATACTGCTTGCATTTTGAGTTGGAATAAGCCAGCGTGGGAGTGAGGAGGAAAATGCTAAAAAGTGCCAGGTGGGCGGTGAAACCCATCGCTGTTTGAGTCCAAAGACGATCCGAGTGAAAGTCGCAGAGAGAAAAAAATAGGTTTTTCACGTGGGGATAAAACGAAAAGCCATCATCGACTCCATTTAGGTGTCAAACACTGGAGAATGACAATAAAATAAGTTGGTCAACACAAAACAACTGAATGTTGGTATATTTTCGGCAGAACGCCGGAGAATTCTTCAGTGACCTCCAGATTTATTACGCGCTTAGCCGTGATGCCGTCCAGGAAACCGACAAGTAGAGCCAGACACCGAGAAATGACCTGTGAATAAATAAAGTCTGAGGTCAAAGAGGGGATCCTGAAACTGAAGCTGGAATCGATTCAGTACAATGGACAGCATCCAACACGCCCTTCGTGGGGGAGGAACAGTGAGGGGCGCTGTCCGAGGTGCTGACGCACCCCAAACCTAAATGTCCTCTCTGGCAACAACACGTCATTTCCATTTGCTTCCTGCTTGGGTCAGGTTAGGTCATTACTTAAATTGCTGCAGTCCATTTAAGAGTCACGCTTGTCCCATTTTGCCAACTCTACTGGGAGGGAAGAAAAAAAAAAAAAAAAAAAAAAAAAAAAAGCTATTCAATAAATCTCAGCAATATACTTTTTTTTTTTTTTTTTAAGTGCTCCAATTTTTGCAATGTTCAAAAACCAGCACGTCCCATGACCAAGTTATTTTCTTGGATGTATAGCAGGAGACAGCTTTTTATGGATCATGGCTTTCACAAAATAATCAATACAGTGACTGCATGGTTGGCTTGTGGGCAGTAATGGAAGGAAGTGGTCCTTAATAGCATGTCTACACCAAACAGACAAGAGCCTGGATCATGTTACTGTATGAAGCTACAGCTGTCAGAGGGATGCATCATTTGTTTGCTTACAATACATTGGCTTAATGTCCACTTTTGTTTCTAGGGCTTTAATGCGTTCATGAGCCTGAAATCCAATGTTAAATAAAGTGTTTGCTGAAACCATCTTAATGTAGAGCAATATTTAAAGACTGGGAGTGGTTACTGCATTTCTGCAGAGGACAGCAACATAAAAATGTTGTAAAATATTAATTAGAAGTCTTTTTTAAATTTACAACAGCTGTAACAAATAAATGCTAACCATATTTGAAACAGAGCACAAAGTTTAGAGGATAAGAGTTTTATTACAACTGTCCAGTCATTTGTGGGACGAGGTAAATCTCTGCATTAGTTTAGGTTCTGTAGACTCCAAACGTTTGTCCTTTTAGTTGCAACAGTGAAGCGATCATTGCAGTCAGGCGGATCTTTAGTCACTGGTGGTCTCTGAAAGTGCCACTTTGGATTCTGTTGCTTTTAGGTTTTTAGATGGCAGAACAACAATGGGTCCCATGTGGATGGTGCTCTCTGCAAAAACAAAAGTGTTAGGTGCACAAGGAATTTTACACAGTTTCACAAATTAGAAGCGTCAAATGTTTTAAAGCATCATTACAGAACAAAAATTATTATACTCACGGCCTTTGCGGTCTGTGTCCCTCTTCATAAATTTAGGAGATTTTTGGGCTTTTATCTGCACTTCTGGACGGTATCGAACATAGGTGGCTGAAGGATGTCCTGCTTTACTCTTGACTGAACTTTCCGGTGTGGTCCTGGCGGGCCAAGCGGCAGTGCTCATAATTCTAGGTGGGTTTGTGGTCTGTGGTTCCTCAAACCTTTGGGAGGCGTCGCAGCTTCTGCACACCTGATTGCTTCCATCTACCGACTGCCATCTGGATGAGGGGACAACATTTAGCTATTTAGTTAAGAGTCTGTATTTCACTTTGATAAAATCTGGTTTAAATGACTTTAAATTGTAAACATTTAATGAGTCGACTTAAAAAAAGGTTACCCGTTATTGATTAAAGAGCAGGCCCGATTTTCAGGACTTACAGCCTGCATGACTGGAACAGCTTTTACAAAGCAGTTTATATACACCTGTGAGAGGGAGGGAGACAAAATATGTTTCAAATACAATCAAGCTAGAATACAAAAAAACAGGAACTTCAAAAACAAACAAAAAAGTACAATACTGTATTTTGCTTATACAGTAGTCCCTTGCTGTTTTGACTTTTGCAGACTCACGCACGGTTTTTCAACAGTTGTCAACCTTATTACTCACGTGATTGGGACAGTACGAGATAAAAAGGCACTGCCATTTTGTAGCATCTATCAAAAACCATTAACAGTAACAAGTCAAAAGAACTACACTACCCAGAAGCCAACAGTGCCTCCAGCCACTGCTTTCTGCTGAAATGGATGGAAAGTTTTGCAACAAATCTACGCTAACAAGCTCACAGAACAGGCAGGACAGTCACAAATAATCCTGAAGCTCTATTATCAATGTGCACATAAGACTTGGATGGGGTGGTGGGCTTCGTCGCTGCAGGGTAGGTCTGCTGCACAGGAAGCGAGCCAGACTAGAACCGAGTTGCTGTTCTGCAGAGCTGGCGAGTAAACTTTTGCAGTACTGTACATATGTTGTACGCAAGTTTAAGAGTTTAGAACATTGTAAGAGGAAGGCTTTATAAAAGCGTTAAAAAATAAATAAATAAGAAAAAAAGAAGAGGGGACTACTGTATTGATATAGAAAAGAAAGCATCGATCCTAAACACTTCATGGGGCAATATTTTAGTCACTTGGAAAACCAAATGGTTTAGTTCATGCAACATAAAAAAAGCTTTAATTTCAACTCAATGTTTTTCTTAGCTACAGTTTTTAAGTTGATCACAACCAGGCTAAATCGGATCATTTCCAGTCTTCGCTGATGGATATTTCAATTATTCAGCTTGTCCAGACAATGCGGTCCATTCGCAACACTAATGACTCTGAACACCATTTTCACAAAGGAAAGCAGTGTAAAACTGTCCTGCTCGACACGCACCACATTTAAAGGAGGAGGTTTGGAAAAGGCCTTCAGTGAATCACGAGCTCTACATATCCGGGTTGAACAATTTGCTTTTAACCGTTATATCTGGCATATCAGCAGCAAGACATTTCATACATATGGAAAAGATTTGCTTAGTTTCAGCAGCTTAAAAAATAAAAAAAATAAAAAAGACCTTGTTGCTGGGCTCTTGGTAGAACTTGAAGGCCTCCAGCTGGAACCTCAGCTTGTGTTGCTCCACTCTTGGCAGGAAACGTGAGATTGAGTTTGTCATGTAAGCGTCAATAAGACACCTGAAAGATAAAATAGTTCAAAGAATTTTTTTTCCTAATTTTGCACATTTTATGGTTGACTAGGGTTTAAATTTGAGCTAACCCATGATGCTCAATGAAGTCATATCTGGACGCCGAGTCTGTATCAGGGGTTGATGTGGCAACGCAGTTGTCAGCATAAACCCTCAGGGGCATGTGGTTACCCATAATGACAGACACTTCAAAATGAATGGGATCACCCAAGAAAAACACGTGGGATCCCCTTTCAAACTGCCAGTCATCTAAAAAAAAAAAAAATAAATAAATACTGATATCAGTTTCATAAGACTCATTTGTATGATTAAAGGAAATGCTTCATACCAGACATGATTTGCAGATCAAAGTGTATCTGGTCATCTGCAGAAGTTACGGAGACATAAGGAACCCAAGCAGGAAGTAAGGAGATGCCATCCACTGAGTATCTCCTGAAATAAAACACCAGTTTTAATGTGCAAATGCTGGATGAAGGGGGGGGGGGGGGGGGGGGGGGGG